AGAGATTGACTACTTATATCTCGTGCGGAAGAGTCATGTGGAATGAAGACTGGCACTTGAGCACTGATTTTGGGATGGTGATTTTCATGGAGACCTAGGCTAAAAATATTTCAGTAGAGTTGAAATATTTATTGAAGTGAGTTACAAATGACTAACATATAGGCAGGGAATGGAAGTTCCATTCCATAAGTGGTACTGAGTCAGTGGATATCTGTCTAGAAAAATAGTAATATTGATTCCTACCTCAAACCATCAAAAATCAAATCTGCATGTATTGTAGATGTAAATATGAAAGGTAAAAGAGTAAAACTTCTAGAAGAGAATATGGATATATTTTTYGACCTTTGGATCGAATTAGTTTAAAATTAAAAATTTCGACTCATTAAAACATAATGAAACAGAGTGAAAGTGCTAGCTTAGAATGGGAGAAGATATTTACAATATATATGTTGGTCATATTCAGAACATATAAAGAATTCTTACAAATCAGTAATAAAAACAGAAACYACCCACAGTGCCATTAATTGATGAATTGATAAATGTGGCATATCCACTCAAGGTAATATTATTCAGCTATAAAAAGGAATGAATGCTACAACATAATTGAACCTTTAAAACATGCACCGTGAAACACCAAGATCTAAAAGGTCATATATTATATGATTTCATTTCTATGAAATGTYCAGAATAGGAAAATCCATAGAGACTTAAAAATATTTATGGTGGCCAGGATGGCGGGAAGAGGGAATGGGATGTGACTGTGTATATAAGATTTCTTTTTGGAGTGATAAAATATTCTTGTATTTAGATGGTGACGATATTGTACAATACTGAGATTTGACTAAGTTATTGAATTGTATAAATATATATATATTTTTGTCTGTGTGTGAATGGAACTGGGGATTGAACCCAGGGGTGCTCTACCTCAGAGCTACTTCCCTAGACCAATTTTGTTTGTTTTCTGAGACAGGGTCTTAGTAAATTTCTGAGGCAGGCCTTGAACTTGAAATCTTCTTGCCTCAGCCTCCCAAGTCACTGGAATTACAGGTGCGTACCACCACCATACCTTATTGAAAGACTAAAATGGTAAATTTTATGTTTTATGAATTTTACATAAAATATCAATAATAATGGACAAATTTTATTAAAGAAAATGCCCATCCAGCCAATAAGCATATGAAAAAGTGCCTCATTTGCAGTTGTGGAAGTTGTAAATTAATTACAATTTAATATCATAACATAATTGCCATGACAGCCAATGATAAAAAGATTGACAATAACAAGTGTTATTGAAGATGGATGGAACTGGACCTCTCTTAGCGTCTGAAGGAATCTTTAATTAGAAAACGGTTGGATAGTATCAACTAAAGCTMAAAAWATGTATATACTATGATGCAGCAATTTCACTTTTGTGTGTATACCTACCAAAAGGAAATCCTAACTTCTATACAAAGAAATGTATAAGAATATCCCCGCACCACTAGTCATAATAACCAACTGGGAACAACCTGAATGTCCATGTTTAGGAATAAGAAAAAATAAATTGTGTTAGAATATACAGTCATCAGTTTTTATTTTGAAGATACCTGTATACTCCCCCAAATTATTGAGGACTCTAGGAGCTCTTGTGTGTGTGTGTGTGTGTGTGTGTGTGTATCATATCTTTCAGTATTTACTATCTTAGAAATAAAATCTAGGAAAAAAATTTACTTAGTTAAAAAAATGGTAAACAGAATATTAACATAAGTATTTTATGACAGTTATTTTTCCCAAAACAAAGATGTTTACTGAGAACGTGACAGTATTTTGTTTTCATTTTTGCATATTACCTTAATGCCTAGACTAAAAAAAGATAGAGCTGGACTGTCATCTCTTTCTGCATATACTGTTAAAAYCCATTTTTTRAAATTTGTTTTGTTTCTTGGGGAAGGGGACCTTTAATTAACCCAGGGGTGCTTTACTACTAAGCTGCATCCCCGGACRTTTTGGGTATCACTAAGTTGCTGAGGCTGACCTTGAACTTATGATYCTCCTGCCTCAGCCTCCCCAGTTGCTAGGWTTATAGATGTGTGCCACTGATCTTGGCCTATCTTAGTTTTGAATGGATCTCTTACCTATGTTACCCATTTTATAATACTGTGCTTTAGTCACTTAGAAAATATTGCTTCAATTAACTATTCAGATATTCCTACACTGTCAGAACCTGCTGACAATCTGTAGTTCCTGTTACAGCAGAGATGCTAAAGAAAGACACACGCACACACACACACATTCAGCAGAAATGAGCCCCTCTTTATTTTTTCCCTATTTCTTTTATACAACAAAAAAGAACACATTCTCTCGGCAGCTTAATCTTTTCAAGAATGGATAAACAATCTCAGAATAACTTTGTTCATGGTCACAGTGCTCCATACTTCTTCTTATCTGACTTGTAGTTAGTTATTTCTTGGCAAGCACACACACACACACACACATATATAGATATAGATATCTATAGATATATATAGACATAGATTTTAAACTTGGCAAAAAATTCTTTTATCCTCTTAAGACAGCAACAAGGATAGTTCAAAGAGTTCATAGTTTCTCACAGAACCCCTTTGTTTTGCTAAGCACAGCAAAACTTAACACTTTGTGTGTGTGAGCATATACTACACTGACACATTTTCTCTCAACCAAAAATATGTTATTTTATAATAACCAATAGTGTTTGTTAATGTGATCGGTGATCTCATCAGAAAAGTCTTTTTTAAGTATTGGGAAAATGTTAGACTCATAATAGCTGAAACAAACTTTCCAAAAGTCTAGGTTTTTTTTTTTAATTTTAATATTTATTTTTAGTTCTCGACGGACACAACATCTTTGTTGGTATGTGGTGCTGAGGATTGAACCTTTGCCACACGCATGCCAGGCGAGCGAGCTGCTACCGCTTGAGCCACATCCCCAGCCCTAGGTTTTTTTTTTTTTTTTGTATTGGGAATTGAACTTGGGCCACTTAGCCACTGATCCACATCCCCAGCCCTATTTTGTATTTTATTTAGGGACAAGGTCTCACTGAGTTGCTAAGCACTTCATCATTGCTGAGGCTGGCTTTGAACTCTTGATCCTCCTGACTCAGCCTCCCGACTTCTGGGATTACAGGCATGGGCCACCATGCCTGGCTTCTTGTTGTTGTTTTTGTTTTTGTAGATAGACACAATGACTATTTTATTTATTTATTTTATGTGGTGCTGAAGATCAAACCCAGTGGCTCACACATGCTAAGCAAGCGCTCTACCACTGAGCTACAACCCCAGTCCCCCYGCCAAAATCTAGTTTTTAACTTGAAAGGTAGAATTGTATCATTGACAAATAGTTTTTCTTGAAGTGACAGATTTTTTTTTTTAGTTTTCTAAAATGATTATGGTGTCTAAATTACCATAGCCTGTTTGTTGTTCTCTCAAGTAAAAATTGAATTCTATGAGAAATAAAGTAAATAGTTCAATTTGCAACTGAAATAATTTAGTTCATGCTCAAAACCGTCAATCTACTTTGGTATACAGCAGCACCATGTTTCATTATATAAAATAAACCAAACATGTACTGAAGGCCTGAGATATAACAAAACTAATCATATTTTCTGATCATCATGAGCATTCTTAAATGAATCTGTCATTTCCCCCAACAGATAATGGCAATGAAGAAGAGTGATAATGTATACTTTGGTGCCACTGCTTTGATTCAAGCTAAGGCACCAGCAGTTCTACTCATTATTACTTTTTGTATAGATATTAATAGGAATTTCCAGGATAAATCATGAGATTAAAAAAAAGTCATTTAAATCCCCACTATTCAGGAGGCTGAGGCAGAATTTTTTGAACCCAGGAGTTAAAGGCCAGTCTGGRMAACATAACGAGATTACCATCTAAAAAAAGTTTTTTTGCTTTGAATATTTTAGTACTACAACGATGTTTATTATCAAGCATTTATTATAAAGAATATTCTTTTAATGATTAATTTGTACTCACGATAGTCAGATACAAACAAAACACTAAGTCCAGCTACGTGGATGAATTTATTTGTAAGAAAAAAGTACAWTTCAGTCTTCCTGTTTGCAACCTAGTATTTCTGTTTACAGGTTAGTCTATAATTTGAATKTATTAATTTGAAATTTGTACTTTTGTGATTTGTTTTACTGACATCTCATCCAGCAGGTATCACATATACAAATGTCAAAAGACAGAATTACAGCAAATTGGTTATAGATCTAATTGGTTTATATTTAAAGTATTTTTTAGTTATAGATGGACACAACACCTTTATCTATCTATCTATCTATCTATCTATCTATCTATCTATCTATCTATTATGTTGTGCTGAGGATTGAACCCAGTGCCTCACACATGCCAGGCAAGTGCTCTGTCACTGAGCCATAACTCCAGCCCCTCTATAAAAAGAATAAAAGCTCCCATCAGACAGCAGCAGAATTGTAGATTTTGTAAGATGGGAACAAGGAAACAGAACAGTAGAAAAGAAAAAAACCTGAGTAACATTAAGTTACTTTTTTTGTAAGGTTAACCCTTAAAACTTTAACATCAGGTATTTCCTTATTTTATAAGCTAAAACTGGCTTGTTTAAGAATTTGGTTATTCTCTTTCTCCTGACTTCTCAGGTCAGATTAAAAAAATGTATTTTGACTTGGTGACATGAACTTTTATCTTGAGTAACTGCATTTTAGTTGGTCTGTTGAACTTATTGCAGGAACTCAGTCCCAACTACAGCCTACAAATTTTCTTTAAACACAAGTCTCTGAAAACTATTGTGTGCAATTTCTACTGTTTTTCTATAAGATGATTTCAGTGGAGTTTTTATTTCTAGTTTCAATAGTTATAGCAAAACAACTGTCTTTTAAAGAGCTCACTATGGCTATTTTTAAAATATTAAATATTAAAAATATTAAATTTCTTTTTCTTTACACTAATTGGTCCCTTATTCTTCCTGTTTTATTTCCATGTGGCTACATGGAAACTGGATTTCAAAATAATTTCTTGGATAGTAATAAAGATACAGAAATAAAAGCATGTCTGAATAAATATGGTTTTTAAGAGCACAGAAGTGCTGAAAACAAAATGAATTAGTCTTTGAAAGTGTATGTTTAGACAGCATGGCACTAGTTGGCCACTGCAGGATGGTAGCGCAGTGGCTAGACAAGTAGGTACTAAGCAAGCTGCAGTCCCCATTGTGGGCCCACAGGAGCTGCAGYTGGACGACGTGAAGTGGATCAACTTGGAGGAGCTGTACTGTGGCAGCAAGGCAGACATGCCTGATGAGGTCAATATCAATGAGTTGTTAGAATTGGAGAGTGAACAGGAAAGAAGTCAGAATATCCAGGGACTCCTGAAGCAAAAAATGCAAGAATCCTATACAGGATTTTGTTCAAGAGCTGCTGGCCAAGCTGTGGGGCCTCCACAAGCAGCCTGCCCTCTGCCATCCCAGACCCTCAGATGAGCCCCTCAGGACAGGTCCAGACTATACCCCATGACTCTTTCTCACCTGACTCCTGTGCTCTCTCCAATATTGCCCAGTTTGCCCAACTTGTATTTAATGGTTCTGTAACAATAACTCCATGTTCCTGTTTTTCCTCTCTGTGGTTACCTGGGTGGGCTTCCCTGTGGCCCCTACCCACAACCTCCCTCTCTCCTGTTGGGGTCTTGTGTCCCAGTACAGCTCCTGGCAACAGATGGAGGATTRCTCCTGTCCAGAGAACCTGAGAACAGCCATGGTAATAGAGGGGTACCTCAGGACTCATCCTGTGCTCACCAACCCCCCTCGCCTGGGTCCAGTCCCAGCCAGCAGGGTCCCTGTAGGCTGGAGGTGCCCAGGGATGCTGGGGGCAATGACAGCCTAGATTTCCGGGCCAGGGGAGATACACATGACCCACTGTGGCCCATATCACCTCAACACAGGTGGTCAAAGAGCAAACGAGTCATTCATCCATGTCAAAAAAAAAAGGACATATTTATTGGGTAAATTTACTACTTTAGAAACAAATAGAATATACAAATACATAATTATTCCATTAGATTTCCAAATATGACAATATCATGCTGGGGTCCAGCCCTAGCAGGGTCCAGGGAATCCTGAAGGATGAGTGGCGTTGGCGAAAAGATGAGACAGGATTTGTTTTGTTGGAGCAGTCTCCAGAGAGAGAGAGCTCTAATGCAGCTTTCTCTGGATCATCTTTTATTACAATTTTTCTCATCATTATAGATTCAGAATACATCATTGATTATACAGTTTCAAAACTTTGCCAAGACATAATGTTTCCTTAACCATAATTAGGGGTATAGAAAAGTATAACATCAATTTACATTTTTCCAGGATGTGACTTTTTAGTTATCAGTCATTAATAAAATGCGTCATTAGTTCACATTTTTTCAGATTTTCCCAAGATGTATTATTTTCTTATTATCTAATGCCAAACTACGTAACCAGACTCTAAGTCTCCTAACCTATCATTAACATTTAAGTTTTAAAGTGCACCTGCACTTTTATTTCTAATCTAAAATTCCCATCTAAAAAGGTCCCTTTAAATCTTATACTTAAAATATCCTAAAGTTTATAAACCAT